ACAATTACTGCAACATTCATCTTTTCCTTCAAAGCCTTTGGTAACAACAATCAAGAACCACTTTATACTTTTATGGCTGCTTCTTGAAAAGAAAAGAAAAAAAAGCCTAAGACAGACTTTATTCATCCTTAACTTTTAAACATTTCCGAGCACAAAGAGCCCAAAAAGAAGAAAGAAGGGGTTAGATTTGGGACAACAGGAAACGTACCTTGTGCACAACTCACAATGTGTAAAACCTCACAGTCGAGACAGACTTCTAGTCATAACCGAAGAAAAAAAATGCATTGGGTTGATGCAAGCAGCGCATCTATAGTAAATGCAATGCGTCAATCCTTTGGAATGGTTGGGCGTCTGTCTTCATTAAGACTGATTTTGTCAAAGAAAATACCTGCATTAAGCCATTATACACTGCTTGAGTACTGAACAGCAAGAAAAGGGGGAAAAAAATGTAAATAAGAACCAAACAAAAACAAAGCTAAACACTCAAAATGTTTACATAAAGCAGAAAAGAAATATTTAACTTAGAACACCTACATATCAAATACGCAGCGTTGCTTTATTAAATCCTGTACATTACATAACGACGTGTCACACTTTATAAAACTGTACATGTTTGTTTAATGTCTGATAGTAGCTATTTTATTTATTTTTTGTTTGTTTTTCTTTTTTACCCTTAACATTTGTATCCTCTTTATGAAGTTATCGTTATAGTTTTGGCACACAATTGCATCGCGTCATGCTCGAGATCAGTGACGAAGAGTTCTGTGAGATATACTGATGTCTTTAACATGAACTCCTTAAATAAAATTGTTAGTTGTTCACACACTAGGCAACACTTAATTCACTTTTTTTTTTATATATGTTACAATCAAGAGGAAAATGTTAACTGGTAAACAGTTAGTATCTTGTTGCGGCTGCAAGTCCTTCTGCTCTCACGGGTGTTGAAGTCTCGATTCTTACTGGGATAACAATCATAAAGTTGGATTAAGAAATGCTGAAATAAGGTTTCCTAGTAATTTACAGATGACATCACCCCCATTACATGAGCAAAAGCTGAAAATGAGATTGAGAAGGGATGTTTTAAGATTTTTGTAACAGAAAAATCAGCTTTTAAATTCCTTGAAATATTACCTTTTTTTGCATCCACAAGGATGTATGTGCAGGACTTGGCATTATCGAATGATTATATAAAATGTAGCCCAGTGTTTTGGTTATTTATTTTTTTGTTTCTTTCTTTCTTTTTTTTTTTTTTACAAAAAAAGTCTCTCCGTCTTTACTTTTTCATTCAAGTAGGAACAAATGAAACCAACAAATATTTGTGCTACTCGTCAAGAAAATGCAAGCTACATGATGGATGTTTTGAAAAGATATTAAAGTACAACAAAAGTATTTCAAGAGGTATGAGTTTTGATAAATATACAACCTTAAATATTTCATGAGACAAAAAAAAAAAGCAAAACAAAAGTAAGACTACATTGCTAACTCACAATGCGGTGGTCTCTATTCTTATGGAAAGCTCTGAAAATAATAAAGAAAAATAGCCACTCGAAATCTGAAACCAACTTACACAGAGGTCACTAAGTTTCTTTACTTATAATCACCCCAAACAAACCTAAAACTTTCCTTTTCTTTCTTCCTTCTTCTTTTTTTTTGGACGACAGGCTAACTGCAATAACCTGCATCCTGACATCAACAAAGTATTAGTTGTTCCTGATTAAAGGGATGAACCCCATGAATGGAGCTAAAATTGAGATGTCCGCATCAACGGTGCTTTGAACTGCTCTGCGAAAACCGCCAAATTCAAAAGCTGAAATGACCTGAAGACGATGCAAAATCTCGGAAAACGAAAAGGAAAAAAAAAACGAAAAGCACGGACTATACATCTTTCTACAGAGAGGTTAATAATTATTTGACAACAAACACAAGTACAGTAAAAAATGGACATGTACAAAACTGTGTTCAATGGCCTTTTCTTTTGAATTATTCAAGTACATTTGGTACAGTGAGGAGAAAAAGGTTTGAGAAACTGCCTGTGGACGCCTTTATGTCACCGGTGCTGTCTGGATGGATTGATATACTGGGATGATTAGACTGTCACAGTCGCTTTAATTCAGATGGTAGGAGCTCTGTTTGCCTTACACAGTCCACTGACACTAAGGGGTCAAAGGTGTTTAAAGGGACATTTCACTCCAGAGTGCTCGATAGCGGGACTGTAGGTTTATGACGACATAATAGGCAGGAGCCGAGCCTGTGCCGAGGCATTCCTGTGTTTCCAGTGTGGTCGGACACTGACCAGCAGTGAACACTAAGCACCCAGGACCACCAGAGGAGGCTGGCAGACTTTATCTGTGCAGTAACTGATTTAACAACAAAATCCACAAACTGTGTCATATCTGCTTGGCAGATGTCAACCCTGAGGAAAATGTGCAGATTATGGATTAAGAGCTGATTACTGAAACCTACTTGAGGGTGAGCAACTGAGAAAATATTTGCTTTTTGCAAGAGAAATTTACTCTGCAAACCAGGTCAAACCTAAAACTTAAAAGAAAATGGATACAAAAAAGCCGTTCAACAGCAATTTCGAGAATTCGTTTGTGAAAATCAGCTTTTTTTTTTCTTCTTTTCTGTGTGAAATCCTCTCGCTTCTTCTGTCACTCAGAGCTGCTGATCAGTGGCATTCAAAGTGTCATCTTGCAGTCTGGAAACCCATTGAAACATCTGGCAGAGAAATTATGCTGCACGTGGCGTCGCGAGAGAAAACTACTGCATTCGATCGAAATAATGGCTGTTTTCTTTCTCGAGAATGTGACAGAGCTGATTCATCACAACTTTAAAGAGCGATGGCTGCTGTGAGGAACGAGGGGGACAAGGTCTGCCATTCATGGACTTCCACCTGCCAGACTGCCTCAAAGGAAAAAAAAAAAGAAAAAAAGAAAGAAAGATCCACGCTTTCAAGGCAAAGTTAACATGCATATAGTGTCAAGCACGGGACTGCGGGGCAAGACGATGAAGCTAGCGCATGCGATTCGTGATGACAGCGGCCTGGAAGGGTCTGACGGGACAGAGCTAAAAGGCTGACCATATTTCCAACTGTAGTGCTGAAGCATTAAAGGAAAATGTAGGCATAACACAGACTGGCGGCGCAGCAGCAGCAGTTTTGATAGCCGTGCCTGTTTCCGTGGAAGGTTTACTGTGCCTTTCGCCTGACCTATTGAGGCATGTCTGTCTAGAAACACAAGTCAGCTTTCTCACGGGACATCTGAGCTTCACAGGCAGGACGACGTGAGGCTGGTGAGCACTGGACTTTTGCTGATATGTTCGTTTTGGTTCAGATGTTTTGACAACAAGTTTTTAAAAAGCCCCCCTCGTTGTGAGAAAGAAGTTTGAAAGCAGCTGTTTGAGACCTCCGATTTATGAATTTTGGAGCTGTTACGTCCTCCTTGGAATTGTGAAATCGGACTCCTCAGCAGCAGGGGTTTCTGTCTGTGCTCGGGATGGAGCTGGATACATCCCACCCACACTGCTTGAACTGTTGTTCATAGACTTTTTAGTCTTATCCTATAGTTTGGATCAGCCCACTAATTACAGCCATTTTTCTGCTGGCTGTTTCTACAGTTGGTGGGAGGAGGGGAGTTGGGGAAGGAGAAGGAAATGGGGGTTGTCTGCGAGTGGGTGTCTCCTCTTTTGTGCTGTTCAGCTCATGATAAACCTCTCCTTTTTTTTTTCTTTTTTCTTTTTTTTTATCAGGGCCTGCCCTCTCTTGCCTGTTTACAGCAGATAGCTGCTTTGTTCCTTCTGTACTCAACGTTGCAGTGTCACAGCAGAGCCCAGCTCAGGCCTGCCTAACACGGTGGCCTACATTTGACCCACAAGTCGGGCAACCTTACGCAATTTAGCAGGCTCGGAGCTTTACCGGTTTTTGACAGGACAGGTAGAGCCAGATGAGTAAGGATTCCCTGGGGAATGGCATGCGAGCACCCCTCCTGCAGGCTGTGAATTGCTTCTTTTGGGTGCAGCTGTTTCCTCCAGGGAAGCCACAAAAGGCAGAGCCAGGAGGAGGGAAGTGAGCCGGCATCTGGCTCTACCTGCAATACTGCCAACCAGCAGCTCGAGGCCTCAGTGAAAGGTGGCTTACAGGACTGAATAAAAAGCTTTCATTCATTCTTGTCTTTGGTACTTTTTCCGATGTGCTTGAGAGATGGCTAAACCTTGTTTCAACTTAAGTCCCTTTGTGTCCGTTTTGAGTGAAATGTAGGCTGATGAGGCGGCTTTTTCTTTTTTCTTTTTCCTCTCTCTTCCTTTTCAAGCATGAACAGCTGCTTTGAAACTTGACTGTCTCTGTGGTTGGAACGTTTCTCTAACTTCATAAATACAAAGAAAACTCTTAACCCAATCCTTCTACAGTGCAGATTCACACAGTTTACACTGCACACAACCATTTCATGCAGTACACATTTAACCCAGTGTAATGTCAATAGATATTAACATTGCAAAAAAGAAACAGATTTGGGTTTTGTTTTCTGTGGCGGGGCCTTTCTGATTGTTCCATTATTACACAGCAATCACATTAAATATGAAACCCCTCCCCAAACACGAGGGAGAAAACAAATGTTTGTGTATGCGTTACACATGACAGCGGGGCTAGTTTTTTCAAATATGAGAGCCGAAAAAAGAAGAAAAAAAGAAAACAAAGAGTGCAAATTGTGTTGAGTGTAAGGCTGCTATATATGAACTGTATGTTTCTCTTCACCGTGTTCATTCTTTCAAGCTAACAAGGCCATCCCTGAGCAGGGCGTAAAATTCAACCCCTGTTGAATTTCAGAATAAAGTGATGAATATATTGTGCAGTCAATGTGAGTACTGTTAAGTACTGTGGTCTTACAGAAATCACAACTGTCTTCAATCCTGAGGTGTGTGTGTGTGTGTGTACCCCTTCTCCTAACCCTTTCAAAAAATCAAAAATAAATTGAATAAAATCAAAGCAAAAATAAACAAACAAACAAACAAAAATGTTTCGAAGATCTGTCAGGGTGTCTGTTTTTTTTTCTTCGTCTAGACCTTGTTTAGCTGACTGCGACCGTACATTTAACAAGTAGCCGTGATCAGAAGCCAAAAAAACACACAGACTGAATGCAGATATTGCCATCTGGGAAAGGCATTATCTTCTTTTAGGATCACGCAAGTAATTGCACTACAATAAGCAGTTATGTACATTATGGTACACCACAGCAAGCGCAGAAATAGCAAAGGGGAGGGTGGGGAAGGGGGGTAGCTGACAACTGTGCAACAAAAGTGTTATGATGAAAACACGGGCCTCACAGTCTCGAGGCAGAAAAGTGCGACCGGGTTTCAGTTTAAGGCGAGTTGGCTGGGCTGAGGGTGGGGCTGGAGGCATCTGAGCGGCTGTAGTCGCTGAGGGAGCTGGGACGTGTGGCGCTGCCGCCGTGGGGTCTTTTCAGCATTCCTGGCTGGAAATCTGAGTGTCGCCGGGCGTGCTTCATCAGGTGGTCGCTGCGCATGAAGCGCTTTTCGCAAAGGGGGCAACTGAACTTCTTCTCCCCCGTGTGGGTGCGGTAGTGGCGGGCCAGCTCATCAGAGCGGGCGAACTTCTTAATGCAGTCGGGCCAGGTGCATGGGAAAGGCCGTTCTCCTGCAAAAACAGAGGCAGAGCGTCAGACGAACCATATCCACATTCGTGCTTTTTTTAAAGACAATTTCAGTTGATCATTTCCCCAGTTTTCGTGCAAGCACCAGCACTAGGGCTTAGAAAATGAAACCAATGACACTTTTAAAAACCACCAAATAATCACAAGATGCTCATAGACTTTCATGGCAAAAATACCCAACCACAGAGATGAAATGATCATTTTTAATGCACCTTTTTGGATTTTATTAAGGCTTAAAGCTAGATCTGTAGCTGCTTTGACAGTAGTGTTGATACCACACAGCAGCCTGCTAGGTCTCATCTATGCTAATTTCAGACATGAACTGGACCGGTGTTCTGACAAACCATCCTACTTTGGCAAAACGTCCTACCGTAAGTAGTTTATGCACATTTCTGCTGTCACATAGTAATTCCAGCACAAAGTTAAGTAGGTATGACGGTTTGCCACTTAACTTTGCCCATCAGAGTATGCTTGTAGCTCATATTCATAAAGCCAGGACGGTTTGCCACTTCATTTTACCCGTTAAAGTATGCTTGTAGGTAACATTCACAAAGGTAGCATGGTTTGGCACTTAATTTTGCCCGTCAGAGTATGCTTCTAGCTCATATTCACAAAGGTAGGATGGTTGGCCACTGAATTTTAGCTGTTAAAGTATACTTGTAGGTCACATTCACAAAGGTAGGATGGTTTGGCAGGTAGGATGGATTCCCAGAACACCGGCTGACCTTGATTGCAGTTTTGGTGCCTTTTGCAGGAATAAGCTGACATATAATATGGCTTGCTTTTCTAAGAATTTTAGGTGAGTGAAATGACAGGATTTTTTTACGTGCTGCATTTATATAGTCTATATATGCAGTATGCTGATCAAGCTTGCTAAGAAATTATGGCTCCAGGAAAATCAAGATGGCGATGGTCATAAACCTAGTGTTTTGGCCATAAATCAAGAAACCAGAAACCAGTGAGTGACTTCAAGGTGGTTGTATTCATCCTTTAGAACGAGTCCATGGTTTTATGCCCATACGCGTCACCCTGCCAGCAGCCTAGTTGCTGTTTTACATGATTGCATGTTTTCAAACCCATTTGTGGTTTCCAGCGTCTTTAAAATTCAACACAAACTTTGTAACTCGGGCCAAAGCATAACTTGATGGGATCACTGCGTTATGATGGAGTTGCTATTTCGAGCACATTTCAAGTCTCCGCATTCTGATTTTACCACTGTAGTGAAATAAACGGGAGCCAGCGGTCGCTGTAAAGGTCGACACAAAAGAATCGAAATGAAAATACTTTTAAAAACTAATGGGCGAACAGTGGGTCGGGATTTTACAGGATATGTGATTTGTGGTAAATGAGCCGAAACATGCCAAAGCTGCTCCAGTGCTTACATTGTTAGCCTTTTAAATACAGTTTAATGTTAATGCATCGGGGCTTTTCACATGTATCAGAGGCTTTGGTGAGTCTCACTCAAATCAAATGAAACTAACTGATGATGAAGTGTGCATATTTCGGCACTCTGGTAACACAAATGGTGCTCGCCACATAATAAACAGCTCACCACAGTGCTAGTACTGACTCATCCTGGAACAACAGTCACAAGGTTATTCCATAATATATTAAAAGCCACAGAGATAACTTCAAACTGTTAAGAAACATGCAACAAACAAAAAAAAGAGGTTTGAGCGATAAGACCTGGATGTAAATCACCTACAAATTGGCAGAGTACTGGAGGAGCAGCCACAGTTTAATTATCTAAGCTCCAGATGCTAATCACGCTCACAATGGTTACCCAGCCCATTTTCTAGCATGCAACTATCTGTGACTCGGCACATGGGAAATTACAACCTTCCCCCTCCTCCAACAGCCAATAAAAGTGGGCTCTGACAGAAATATACTCAAGACCATATGGTACAGTATACTGCAATATATCCTGCATTTTCCTACCATACTAATATGGAAACAGTATGCAGTGAACCTAAATGCAGCATCCTGCATCTACTGGTCAATACTATATTCCATTTAGCCCCATTTTACTGAGCTCCTGCCCAACAATAGTGAAATCCAGCAGTCTAATTTTACCAGCTTGGCTTCACAGAGCGAAAGGAAACCGCAGGATGTGTTCTTCTAATGGTTAGGCTCTTTCTAGTGAATAAGAATAATCAATCATAATGTGCACGCCCATGGCAGGGATTTGAAGTATGAAAGGGAAAAGATGGAAGGAGATGCGTGGATGTTTATAGGTGGCACATCAGAACACGGCTGCCAAATGATTTCTTTGTTCTGTGGTTTCCCTCTGGGCCACAATGGAAAGAGTGCTGTTAAGCATCAAACACTCAAATGCTACCTGATGCCAGAGAGTCTCAACAACAAGAACTCGGTGCACAAGTCTCAGTCCCTTCCCCCCCACCTCCCCACCTCCCCATACACTGCATGGTTACAAAACACGCCGACAGACAGTGCAAGTCTAGACAGTCCGGTCTGTGTTCCTGCCTCTGACGCCTCACCTCAGCTCCAGACAAACTCAGTCAGCCCTGCCCACTATAGTTCCTGCAGGCTCACACAAGGCTCAGTATATTTAAACACTGTAACTGACATGCATACATTTGCATACGCGCACCAAAACACAGCCCTGTCCCCTTTTCATAGCAACTATTTATAGTTTTTAGCAAAGCTAACAAGGACACACATCCTTTCATGCGTGATGCAGCGTTACAATGTATAAAGAACGACGTGACTGTGTTTGTTTGAGCTCCTGGAGAAAAAGTAAGCAGTGAGGCGCTCATCTGGTTGACATGGCTCATAATGGAGTGATTTCATTCACTGCTTTATTACTAAAAGAAGAGACCAGTGCTGCCACCTGGCACTGCAAAAATTAGTTATTGGCCTAAAAGCACAGCTAAGTTTTGCAGGCTGCTTAAAGCTAAATAAGCAGTGTAACGGATCTGGCAACATTAATATTTAACCAGACACAAGAGAGCCAGACTGAGATATCCAGTCTATCTGCCCTGATACAGTAATGCGTAGTGGAAGCATCAGGTATCCAGCAGCAACTCTCTGAGATGGGTCAAATTATTTGCAGCTCCGTCACTTCTTGGAAAGGGCAGAAAGAAAGACGCGGTGCCCATTTTCACCTCTCGCTGAGCAGCTTTGAGTTTTAAAGCCAACAATATGAATATTAATATATAAGAAAAAACCTGGCAGCCTTGAAATATCCACTCCCATAAAGGAAAAGCATGCAACTTCCCAATCAAGTGTTGTTTCGTAACACCGGGATTGGGATTTCCATGAAGCTGGTAAACATATTCTGCTAACATTGAGATGGTTTAGGGAACAAAACGCTTTCATAATGAGTGGAAATAATGATAGAGCCTATCAGCCTGTGTGGTATGAGGGTGTCACTTTTCAGAATTTTTCAATAGACTGCAGCTATTACTCAGCATTTCTGTAGAAAGGAGAATGCGGTAAGCTACTCCGCTTACCCAGCTTTTCTTTCTATCTACTTCCAGTGTTGTCACAGCACAGCACCATAGTGACTGTGACGCCAGGACCCACCCATTGGTTATCCCATCTCTGGCATCATGCCATGCCAAGGGTGTGGTTTGTCTTTCTCCGAATGTGTAGAGGGCGAGCAGAGCGGGGGGTGGGTGGGTAATGAGGGAAGCTTTTCCCTAACGAACACAGTGACCCAGTTACCCATAAAATCAGTTACATCATACATCATGCACGCACAACTGTACCTCTACTAAGCACAAGTGTCCCCCCTCCAAGCCAATGAGATTATGTCACAGGTACTCTTGTTGTATAACTGTTCTCTGCGAGTCCACTGGGTCAGTGAATAAACAGCTCATCTCTGCTCCTCTCCCTCCATCTTCCTCTCATTCATATCTGAGTTGGGCTCCTAGGTTTCAAGAGAAATGTTTAAGAGAAATGGAATCTGACTTCCCGGTGTAAGGGATGCTGCCTGCAAAAGAAAAGATCAAATCTCTTCTTGACGCGCACTGCAGTGGAGAAACTGAGCTCAGTCGCCGACCGAGAGCAGATAACATTCCTGGTGTGTCCTCAGGCATGGTCCAAACTCACACGGCATTCATGTGCAAACTTCATTTGAACTTGCTATAAGAGAACTAGATTAAATACCTGTGCAGAATGAGAGGAGGGGGGCAAATACATCAGAGATCACCTTGAAGTTAACTGTGCCTGCACAGCGAGAACCAGAGCAGGAAATATCTTTCTCAGGGAGCTTACAAGAAAAACAAGGTGCACCTTACACCTACACAGAGGCAAACAATTCACAAAGAGAAAGTATGGAACCTTGCTGTAGATCACGGCTCATTACAGTTGGAGCCACCTCACTTCAAGGCTGGTTTTGGTGGCACAGCCAGCTTGGCAACATGAAATGGGACACCACTAACTCCAATGGTAGGGCTCAGCACAATCCTATAATTTGGATCCATGTTTACAACAGACTATGACCTGAAAACAACCAGAAGCCATCTTTGCTGCCAGCAGACAGCCATTGATGGGGATTCTGGGTAGTACTAAAATGACTGCTGGGGCCCTCATCAACATAAACCACTGGAGCAGACAGGGTTAACCCAAGTGTGCCCAGCCTCTCCCTCCACACACACCATCATGTGCCAAGGTGATATAAACACTAACATGTGTGCACAGAACAATAAATATACATTAAGGCTTCTGCAGCTCCTCCTTTCTTTTGTTCGCGAAGCGGTATATGCAGGCAACGCTTTCGCAAAAATAACAACAAAGGCTTACAATTTTCTGTGGTCTGCACACTTGAGATCAAACCAACTGTTTCTGTGAATGTTAGTCTATGAAAAATTACAGCCGTACCCGAGTGAGAGAACAGACAAATTACCAGAAAATCAAAACATGTTTTCTCAGACGACTCCATTCAGAGTTTGCAGCAGACGAGAATAAGTCACCAGGAGCAACAAAGGACCTCTGGGTGTGTCAGGTGCTTGTGACGAGA